GGTGATAGGCCCGTAGAACGGCGCTGATGGTAGAAGATTTCTCCATGGAGTCGTGTTGCTTGATAGTGCAGCACAAAGTGGGAGGTAAACTCCTTCTAAAGCTAAATATCACCACGAGACCGATAGCGAACAAGTACCGTGAGGGAAAGTTGAAAAGCACTCTGAATAGAGAGTCAAAAAGTACGTGAAACTGCCTAGGGCTCAAGCCCGTTGAACTCGATTATCCGAGCGGAGACATTCACAGGCGATAACTTGGTTCGATCATAAACGTCTTCAAAATCTTTTGAAGGACGACCACCTACATTCCGCATTGTTGAAGATGATGTTGCTTCACCAAAAACGACGAACTCTTCTAACCTAAGAAATTAAATAAAAGCAAACAATAATCAACCGTAAAAAAACATAAAACAATAGCTACAAACCATTGCTCATTGGTCTTAAAAAACTGATCCTTTTTTCGATTCGCACTCTGCCATCTTCGTTGAAACACCTTAAAAAGCTTGGAAACGATCTCATCACGACCTTCTACCGCACATCCAACATATAGCGACACATATTGGTCGACAGCTTTGCGTTTCTGCTCTACACGCACATCGCTACAGTTCAGAGCACCCTCCAATACGTCTTTTCTTTTTAAGTAAACTTCTATAAAACATAAACAAGTATTACTTCTAATATAACTAGATATTTCATTGTGTGTTATCTATACCGTTTTTCTTAGAGCATAGCTAACATGTGTGTGTAGCTGAAGCGGTCCATTGAATGAAAAACGTAGGTAATCGAACTTTTTTAATAATTTATATGATTTTATAGCTTTTGGACCACCCTAAGAGCAACAAATACACATGTAAAGTTAATTTCAATATCAATAATGATTTCAGAACCCCCTAATAACCCTTTTAATCAAAATCTCCATTCAACTAACACATCGTGATAGCTTATTATTGATTACTTTTTACTTAGCCCAAAATGAGCTGATTTTCATAATTTAGAACCACCACCAGTTTCATATCAGAAATACATTCAAGATACCAAAATCATCTTAACCTGTGAGTTTTAGCCATTTCGGATAACATATGAGGTTTTGTCCGACCTTTGTATGGAGGCCCGCCACTGTGCGTCGTTCCCGTTGAGATCATTGGCTGCTGGCAGCGGCGTCGCCTCGATGGCGCAAGCGCTCCTTGCCTGAATGATAACTACAAATATCGATTACTTTTCGGAAGGACATATCAGCTTTTGTAAACAACGCATTTTATCGTCGGTTTGGCATAACTAATAGCTCGCCCCACATACTAACACCGCTAACAGGTTGGGAAAATTTTCCCCTATCTGATGGTTGTACTAGCATGCGTGGGCGAGCTACCAGCTACGCCAAATCGACGATCAAATGCGTTGTTTACAAAAGCTGATACGTTCCTTCGAAAAAGTAATCGAGAAATACTTCTTGGGCTGTGTATCAATTGCCGAGTTACTTTTAACTCGTGGTTAAACGTGACATTTCGTAAGTTATTATCAATTTTCGAAAATGCCGGAAATTGATCAGTTTTCAAACAGAACTCAGCCACGGTTACCAAAATTTAACTTCTAGTCGGTCCGAAATAACCACGCTCGTATAGCAGGGTTATTCGATAACTCATCTGTCACTTTTAAACACGAGTTAAATTCAACTCACCCATTACGACACAGCCTTGGAAGTGAAAGTAGTGCCATCCATAATTTACGTATATTTTTGACCAATTAACCCCCGTCCCCCTCGGAGCGTGTTTTGCAATACACCTAATGCATGGCCACTCCCAGCTTGTGAAACCCCACTCCTCCCTCTACTACTACGTTATTTATGAAAGTTCTATAATCATTGGGCAACACTGAAAGACAGCAGCACGCACCACACAAAATGGGTTGGACATTTATGCGAAATTTCGTTTACAAAATGAAGTCAAGGCCATTTCAATTGTTCGTCTTGAAATGTGATAAATTATCAGACGGTACCTCTATTTATGCTTTTAGATTAGCTATGAAAGTCCCTCATACTTGGAAAATTATGCTATAGAACGGTTTATACAACCCGTTTTTTTTTTGTATAATTCTTCAAGTAGGAGGGACTTGCAATGCTTATCTCTTAGCATAAATAGAGGTACCGTCGAGTTTATTTTCAGTACTAGGTTCTGAAATTCGACAGTGAGCGTTCAAAATGGCCTACTTGTAATGTTCGATTATCTTCATCGATTTTCTGTTTACAGCTAAGCGAAACAATTCAAGCTGAACATTGCATTAGGTCCCAAGTAACACTGACAAGATTTTCTTCGTCGACTTTCTCCTTGAATCCACTCGGCCCAGGTATTTTCAGCACACATATCGATAAAAGAAGTTTTTATCTAGCATCTAATACGACAAACACAACAAGAAACGATCCTGTGCTCAAGTTATTAAGGCTGTGTTCCATTTGATGAATGTTTACTTATTTTTACAGCAGACTTATTTCTGACAGACAAGGAATCAATTTGACAGACGCTTTCTCGAAAATCGGCCGATCTACAACAGAGGGGTTTTCGACTTAATTTATTTTCGAAGTGTCAAATCTAAGTGAAAATTTTCCAAATGAAACACAGCCTTCGTATTTTTTTTTTATTTGTTCAATCGGTAGATGTACCGAGAACTTATTGTAGGGATTCATGGCTAATTGATATCATCTCGATCAACTATGAAATGTTGCATAACATTGATGCAAAATTGAGCACTCCGTTTTTGTGTGTGCATTTATTTTTAGCGTTTTGAAGTTGAATCGCTGAGGATCTCATTACCATAGAAAAATTTCAAGAGCACAGATATTAGCTCTCACAAAACTTATAACAAAGAAACTTTAACTTCACGTTTGTTGCAGTCCAGTACACAAGGAGTTTCAATTTCATGAGTGATGTCACAACCGTCCAAGATTTATGTCCTAGAAATCTTGAAGTGATAGGGAATATCAGCCATCATGACGGCCATTGTTGAACGCTTCAATGAATCACCTGAAGAAAGCCTTACTCATATCTGATTGTTATTTAGAAACCAAATGAAATAGAATATGTATTCGCATTTTTATGAGGTCCTGAATTTAACCAAGTTTTACTAAGTAGGAAATCCAAAATATGTACATAGGAACGAAATCATATGTTACTTCTACTGTATTTTAAATCAATATCTAGAAATTTCACTACACAGCTTAAAGTAGTCTACGTCAACCCTGCGGTCGTGTCTTGTACACAACCCCACCATTTTTTTTTTGTTTTCAATCAGTAAAACGCATGTATAAGTGAAACCTCTCACTAATACTAGCGGTGGCAGAGAAGTCTATCGGATCTATAAGTCAGAGACAATCTGCGACAGCTTGATAGTTGACAGTGAATGGAAGAGCGATTAAAGTTAAAGAATGTGTTTCCAATTTGAGTGATAGAATAAGGTTTCCTCATTTGTCTACTTATGGGTCTCCGTTAGATGTTTATAATTTTTGGCTCACTGCTTAAATTTTCACCGGAATCGACCGTTTTCACGTCACTTGTGATCACACAACCAAATCGCTGTTTGATCCAAACCACCCAAACCTTACAATGAAAATAAAAACGTAAACAAACTGCCGAATGTCAAAATATTTTCCACACACAAGTTTTGCAGAAACAGACAATTTTGTCTGTAAATTGTACAGTCAGCAAGAATTTGTCAAAAGAGCATGATCACAGCTCTAAACGGTATTATCTTCGAATTAAATCCTGATACAGAATGTCTGGCGGCTTTGATGTCAACTGCAACAACACGACTCTAAGCAAATATTTTGCAGATCATCCAAACAGGGTCGGTATTGAAAGTTAATCCGAGTTGGAGCTTACCGCCACTAGACTATACACTGTTCGACAGTCTGTTGACTGTCTGCAGACAACTGTTAACAGATTACAAGCCAGATAAACTGTGCAGTAGAATGATGCAAAATTTGAAATTTTCGCTCCACAATACTTAAACGATTCCAAATCGGATCCTGACTAACCTCTCAAAATTTGAACCCATTTGGTGAGAAACTGAGATGGCACAAACCATTTGAAGTTTGTATGGGAATTACTATGGTAAAACCAAGATTTATGTTCATGTCTATCTAATAATTCACCATATCGATCTGCTTCAAAAACTTTCAACTTTACTTGTAGGAAATTTTCCCAGCTACAACTTTTCTCAAGACCACTTTTTGATTAAATGCAAGGATCGAAAGTTATTAATGGTTCAATGCACTGATGTCTTATGATCATGCTCAATCAACTGCTCAGCAGGCAACATTGGTGTTTCTGGGGCGTTGAATAGGACACACAAATTATGGCTACTATGTCACACTGCAAAATACAGTGTTGCCTACAGAGCAGCTGCTTGATCATGTCATAAGTTTACCAATCTCTTAAATAATTAATAACTATTTCCTGTCTCGTTTTACATAGAAACAATCTTGAGCAAAGTTGTAGCTGAGAAAATTTTCTATAAGAATAGTTATCGAGCTGTCTTGCAGCTCAAAATGGAAAAAGACTAGAAGGCAATGAACAAAAAGTTGAGATTTCCCATAGTAATTTACATGTAAACTTCAAATGGTTTGTGCGAAGTCTGTTTCTAACCAAATGAGTTGTAACTTTTGGAGGCTAATCACGACCCGATTTGAAACCATTTAAGCACTGTGGAGCGAAAAAGTCAAATTTTGCATCAGTCTACTGTGCAGGTTTGAACACACAAAACTGGCTAGGGACGTAATAAAGTTAAATATGAATAAGAAGAAGAGTAGTAAGCTTGTAGGTTTTCTCAAAGTGGTTCCCAATCGCCAATTTCATTGTGTCATCATATTGATTAATGTAAAATGTGGGATATGAACCAAATCTGGTATATTTATTTAACTGGCTCAATCTAAGGCTATGTTTCTTAATATATATGTATCTCAAAAACATTCCAAACAATGCATTTAAAAACATCTTTTTTCCTCTATTCCACAGCAAACAATCAAGGCACAGAAAGACTGGTCGTTACCAGAAGAAGCAATGTACCAATCGATAACAACCTGCCGTGTACGACGGCGGCATCCAGTGCGATAGCGCCCAGCAAGCTAAATGCCGGATCTGGCAACTTTAGTACTACTAGTCATATGACAAATACCTCCGGTGGCATCAACGTGAACAGCATCGACGCTGTGGCTGGTACAGCACGATCTGTATCAACAGCCACTAGCACGGAAGCCGCTCTGGACTACAAGTCTCTAAACAGCATTTTGGACGACAATTTGCGACCGTTAACGCCAATCGCTGGCAATTCTAGGTCAGAGCAGATTCACGATGAGCACAAAAAGCTCGTGCAGGAGTATTGGGAGGTAATGCGTAAGAATACAACTGTTCCGATTTCCACAAATGGTTTAAATGACGCCCATTCTTTACAGATCCAAACACAAATTGTTACTAGTCAAGCTCTACGTGATAACCTACAAGCTAACATGCCAGCGGAAGAACTGCGATTGAAGAAAGAGTACTTAAAAAAGTTAGAGGAGAAGGTGGGTGATTTAAGTTTTACTTGCTAATCTAAAAAATACTGAACTAAATGTTTAATTTCAGGAAGCGCTAATAAAGTTTAAAGCCACCCTGCAACAGCAGCTGGACGAACGGAGGCGAATGGCTTGTAGCGCGCAGGTGCATACGTCTCCTGCGGTTCACATTCAGCAGAACCAGAATCAACAATCGGTGCCACCTCCCATGGCAGGTTCACCGAATAGGTCCCAAGCTCAGAGACAAGATTCAGCCACAGATTCAACTTGGGTGTTGGTGAACCGAACCGAACTTGACCAAGTCCAGGCGGCGGAACAAGGGGCCGGTGGAAATAATCCTAGTTGAAAATTTGCGAGCGACCAATAGTGCTCGGAAAGCTCCAAACTTGTGATCAATACTGTGTACACGACCAGTGGTATGCTGCCTTGCTGCAGCATAATGCTGTTCGAAAAGACGAGTGCCAAAAATAAGAGGGAATATTTTTTTTCCATTCTATTCGAAACGAATTCAAACCTTAGTGATGTTGAACATACAGTATGTTGCGTATTTTATCTATATCAACAATGATACCATTTGTATAGACAGTAGGTTGAACGACAATTGATTTATTTTATAATAGAATAAGATCGTGTAATAAATCGTATTGCATCGAAATGTGTTGTATGGTTACTGTCCGCGCCACGAAATCCTCTTCGATGCTCCCGCGCTTGACAACGGTGGAGCAGAACTATCCGGTTCGGTAACTGGTCGATTTGCAAGATATCTTATTAACTCTGTAGCCTTTGCAAGACTGTTGGGGTAGCTTCGGTCAGTTGGAGAAAATTAATTTCACTTGGTCACTTTAACTGCGTGTATTCAATGCTTATAAATAGCGGAACGTTTTCAACTAGCTAACTAGACTTAGGTATACTATCCTGTGGTCTTTGCATGGAAAAATTCATTTCCGCTGTACAGGGAATACAAACTTTGTTTACTAGATGGGTATTTCACTCACATAGTGGCATTTTCTTGTACTGCGTTGTACCGAAGACAACATATCAAGAAGACTGGCAACTCTGCCAGAATCCAAGCGACAGATACTGTAGCGCTGCGCTCGAGCGAAGGTGGAAGTACTGCATATACAAATGAGCAAATACACAAACCTTTCGTCTGAGGTTGTAATCTTTGCGGTCAAATCGTTCGAAGCATTTACCTTTGAGTGGCAGATGACGCGATTGTGTCGGTTTCATAGCGGTCGTATGAGAAAATGAAAGAGATGCCAGTCTTCTTGATTTGATGTCCGGTTGTACGCAACAGTAGCTGATGGCATTTTTTAAATTAATTTGCAGACATGTTTAAGAAGATTGAAATTTGTACTCAAAGTCAGACTTGGGTAATGAACCATGGCTGTCCGGACAGTTTTTATCACGGCTTACTTAAATGTGTGATTTTTCCATTAGTCCGATGTTTATTGACTGATAAATGAACCAGCGCACACTGATGTTGCAGATCTATGAGTTTCTCGGAAAAATAATAATAACTTTTGAACGAAGCATCTAATCACTTTGCTGTCTTGTGTAAAGTTGCTTGTATTAGTTAAGTGCTTCTTTTGAATAACTTATTTAGTTTGCAACATGGCCGTAGAGATGGCGCGCGAAACTTACTATTTAATAAAGCATCCTAGACGTATGGTGTTTTCTACAAAGTTGTTTATCTATTAAAACGAAGGAAAGTTGCAGAAAACATAAAACTTCCATAACCTTTAGTTTCAGAGATATAGGGTGTTTTAAAAAATATGAAGTCAAAACTCTTATTTGTTGACTTTTTAATAAATTTTGATATGTTTGCTCTAGTTTTTGCATTCATTACAATGAAATTCAACTAGTTGCCAATTTCTCATTGAACCATTTGTGGAATTTATAGTGGTTTTAGTGAAATATTCTCGAAAACATGATATTTTGCCTGTATTTTAGATGAATGGAATTCTCGTAAGGGCAAGCGGACTTTGTCTCTTTTGTTAGCTCATGTCATCGTCTAGCATATATCAGAAAACTGAAGACATGATATTCGATGATTTTTTTTTAATTTCACTTTCACTTTTCACTTTACGTACTTTTAGAAGCTCTCGGTTTGCGTGGGCGAACTTTGATTCGCGCAAGGGCCTAGCATATTTTGTTTACAAAAGTTGATAGCCCTTTTTCAAATGTTATGCGAAACGTGTTTTGAAAACCTTGTTGAACCACGCGGTTTCGCAAGCCATGGTTTTCGTGAACCGGTGCGAATCAGGCATGGTTCGTTTAAAAAGTTCTAATTTCTTCGTCAAGTTAGTTCTTCCAGCAGTCGTGCTGGTGCATTTGGTGCACGCGCAAAAACACACTGTTGAAACATGATTTTTATCAACAATTTCCTAGACTATTTTCATAATGTTTATACGTTACTCGAAATCGTAAGAGTTCACATTCAAATATACATAAAACGTAAATCAATTAGAGTAAAATTTTCCTTTTCTTTGTTCGCTTGCAAAAATACCACTAATTTTTCGGTGATTTGCCGCGAACGCTTTTGGCACGATCAGTATAATAAACATCGGATTCATGAATAACACATTTATGTCAGTGATCCGGGACGAAACTTGTCGTGCGAAGTTCACTACCAAAGCCAGCTCAGAGTACTTATTACTGATTGAAAGGATCGGTGCAGTGCACTATTGGATAGAATATTGACATCGGTTTGATGAATGTGTGGTGTGCAATGCCAACACTGGACAACAGCGCGCACCTGGATACACCCCTGCATCAAAAGCGACCATGTTGATTTTATTAAGTAAGTTTGGGACAAGGGAGAAATAAACACGTTGTAAAATCACAAGCGTTTTCGATTTATTCTATCGCGGAATTCTCCTTCCTGTCCCCACATTGGTGACCCAGAGTAATCGGTTGTCGTTGTTTTCCGCAGATTCGAAAATGACGGAGAGAAACGCTGCTGTTACCGCTGGAGTTGCAGTCAAACTTCCAGATTTCTGGAAGAATGACCCCGTGATGTGGCTCGCGCAGGCCGAAGGACAGTTTGCTCTGGCTAACGTGGTACGGGAACACACCAAGTTCTATCATATCATCGCGAAAATCGACCAGTCTGTCATGTGCCATGTAGCGGACTTGTTTACGACCCCGGCGGAGGAAAACAAATACGAAACCATCAAGTAGCGTTTGATTTCCCGATTCCAAGTGTCAGTGCAAGGAAGCTTGGAGCGACTTTTGGGCGCTTGCGACCTCGGAGACATGCGTCCTACACATCTTCTGACGAAAATGCAGGAGTTTGCTGCGGGTCTGAATGTTACGGATGATTTGCTGAAAATGCAGTTCGTCCAGCGGATGCCACCGAGTGTCAAAGCCGTTCTCGCTATCATTGATGGTACCATCGGGAAACTCGCCGAGATGGCAGACAAAATGCTTGAGTCTCCATCGTCACACGTCGCCGCAGCCTCTACCAGCTCCTCCGGAACAGATGCTGGCGTCGAGCTTCAAAGCCAAATTGCGGCATTGACAGCAGAAATACGTTACCTCAAATCGTCGAGAGGTACTTCCAGAAGTCGATCCACATCGAGAGCAAGCCGAGTGACAGACGACGAAAAATGCTGGTTCCACCGGACGTTTAGGGGGCGTGCTTTGAAATGCCGTGAGCCCTGTAGGTACAATTCAAAAAACTAGAATCTCGTTCGCTCAAAACGGCGGGAGTGAACTCAGCCCCGGAAAGCCGCCGTATTCTGTTTTACGATCGTTCATCCAACATGAGATTTCTTATCGATAGACGAGTGCACGGATGGATTTAAGTTCACTCACTCGATAAAAAGTGACACAACAGCGGGGCCCTGTTTACTAAAAATGAACACATATGTGTTCATTTTTAGTAAACAGGGCCACGCTGTTGTGTCACTTTTTGTCGAGTGAGTGAACTCAAATCCATCCGTGCACTCGTCTATACCGGTTCGGATGTATCGATAATTCGAGCAACAAACAAGCACAGGAGCAAAGTTGCAACACCGTTCGTTTTACACGCAGCGAATGTATCAAGAATTAAAGTGTACGATAAGCGATACGTCACACCAGATTTAGGACTACGTCAGCGCTTCACTTGGCCTTTCCTCGAGGCAGATGTGGGAGTTGCTATTATCGGTGCTGACTTTCTCGCAACGTTCGGCATATTGGTAGACCTGAAACTCCGGCGCCTTATGAATGGTATAACCAACAATCAATACGAAACTAACGATTTTAAATTGGCTCACCACTTTAGTAGCCTATTGGTCCCAAGCAAACGATTAACGTACCCTATTCTAGTCGAAATTCTAGTACTACACAATGTTTGTTTTGATTCGCGATGAAAGTTTGACAGATAAAATGAGGGGTTATTGGTTTTTCCTATGTTTCGAGGGGTGATTCGATTAGCTTGGGACCAAAGAGAGTACCAGAGCTGAGCCAAAAAGTTGAGCACGTTATTACGGGACCTTCTAGTCTTAGAGTTACCTCTATGGTATAACTAAGCTTTCGTCGACTGGAGGTTTGGCTGATGCATCCGTTTACAGCGTTACAGCAGTTGCTGCAGATCATCCGTTCCGAGAACTGTTGTCAGAATTTAAGGAAGTCACCATACCGACAATGATTAAAACAGCAGTGCAACACGACGTTACTGATCACATACAGACGAAAGGGCCACCGGTAGCAAACAAGTGTCGTCGAATGGCTCCGGTCAAGTTGATTGTTGGTCTAGCCCACTTCACTGCGTTCCGAAAAAGACCGGTGCATTGAGGTTTGTGGAAGATTATCGAGCGCTAAATAAAGTGACTGTGGAATTGCGTCAGACAGCTTTAGCATCAAGGCCCCTGTATTGTGATGTGTCACAAAACAAAGTAAGACCGTATGTTCCACCTCAGCATCGTGACGCAGTTCTTCAACATGTCCATGGTCTGGCTCATCTAGGAGTGCGTTCTACTCGACTACTTGTAGCGGATCGGTTCGTATGGAAGAACATGAACAAGGACATTAAGTTAGTCGTACAAAACTGCCTACAATGCCAACGTTCTAAGATTCATCACCACACAGTAGCTCCTCTTCAGAGTATTCCTCTGGCAAACAGCCGTTTTCGACATTTTCATGTGGAGATTGTGGGACCGTTGCCACCATCGAATGGAAACCGCTATCTACTAACAATCATCGACCGTTTTTCTCGATGGCCTGAAGCCGTACCACTTCAAGACATGAGTGCTGAGACTGTCGCTCGGGCTATGTGCGTTATCTGGATTTCTCGTTTTGGCGTACCAGAAACAGTCACCACGGATCAAGGAAGGCAATTCGAATCTGAGCTGTTTCGTGAATTGGCTAAAGCGATGGGCTCCAAACACATCCGAACAACGGCATACCACCCTCAATCAAATGGTTTGGTGGAGCAATTTCATCGAACCTTGAAAGCTGCAATAATGGCTGTTGATTCGAAGCACTGGTGTGATCAATTACCGATGATAATGCTGGGATTGCGTACGTCTTTCCGATCGGATTTTGATTGTTCAGTTGCGGAGATGGTGTATAGTCAAACGTTGCGGATTCCCGGGGAGTTTCTAGAACGTTCAAGTCAGGATATCGATAGAACGGATTACGCCAAGCAACTTCCAGACACGTTTAGCA